GCCCGGCACAGGTTCTACCACTTAGCTACACACCTAGCCCTCGTCTGCCTTTTGCATTTATTTCTGATGATGATGATTGAAAGGTTCAGGCTTTAATGCTGATCGGCTCTACCTCTTTAAGAGACAGACCCCGCCCCCTGACAACAGTTAGGGCACAGGGACATGTCATCACCACATCACCCACCACGCGTTTACAGCCTGCGTGAAGACTCTGGGCATGTGTGGAACCTCAGTGTGCACCCGCAGTCTTCCCTTTAAAAGTTCCAACTTCCTTGCTTCGCTCTCTCTCTGCTTCTTCTCCACTCTCTCTCTACTCTTATCCTTTCTCTGTTTGTTTGCTTCTGCTTCTCGTCTCTCTCTCTCTATGGCGACTTGTGGAACCTCAGTGTGCACCCGCAGTCTTCCCTTTAAAAGTTCCAACTTACTTGCTTCGCTCTCTCTCTGCTTCTTCTTCACTCTCTCTCTACTCTTATCCTTTCTCTGTTTGCTTCTGCTTCTCATCTCTCTCTCTCTATGGCGACTGGCCATGGTGGTCAGCCATTAACTCTATTTCTCTTCTCTCTTAGTCTCCCTACTCTGTCAGGCCTATAATAAAATGGTTAATATGTCTCATCTTGCGTCTCCTCTTTTTCTTCAAAAATTTTAACAATGATGATGTTTTTTTGAGACACGGTCTGTGTAGATCTGGGTGTCCTGGAGCTCACTGTGTAGACCAGGCAGGCCTGGAACTCAGATAAATTCACTTGCCTCTGTTAGGATTAATGAGCAAAGTTTTCTTGATTCTGGAATTGAGAACAAAGGCAGTTTAAGTTCTATGAACTAAATGTTGTAATTTTTGTTTCTTGCCAATATTCTTTTCACTACATTTTTACTTTTGAAAAAGTCATACCAGCAACAATAAGATATTGTTTACATGTTAAAAAAAAACCCAACCAACCAACCAAAGGAATATTCTTAGCTTGTCATATGGAGAAATTTGGAGTGCATTTAACTTTGACAGAGACTTTCTCTGCTTTTTGGTAAACTTAGTTTGAGGACTAAGGTTCTAGAGAACTCAATGGCTATTGCAGCTGAGAGCCAGTGGCTTCCAGGTAATTGTCTCTGGAATCAAGGAATGAGATTCAAGAGTACAGAGGCAGTATTTAAATGAGACATTTATTATAGATTCTCAGGTTGGAGCTGAAGACAGAATGTGGAAAGAGCTACTTGGAATGGGAGCCATTGAGCTGCCAGTCTGGGGGCTTTATTATGGACTTGTGGCAGAAACTGAGGTGCCTCCTCTCAGTTCTAGTCCCACCTTTAGGTATGGCTTCCAGGCAAGTGTAAGAGGTGACAAGAAGCTGGAGACTAGAACTTTTTTCTGTCATTCCAGAAAGGACATTCTTGTAATATGCTGCTTTGGGGTCCCTGACTTACTTGAACAATTTCTATTTCCTGTTCTCAGGACATATGATAAATCTTATTATCTCTTATGTATGAATTTACAAATAAACCTTCATACATTTGCCTAGTACTTTTATTATTTTGTGTGCATGTGCATGTGCTAGTTTTGTATACATGCTCCACAGTGCCACCATTTGGGTCCTTGAGTTGAACTCAGGTCAGCAGGCTTGGTGGCAGATACCTTTTACCAGCTGAGCCATTTTGCTGGCCTGTTGTCATTTTCGTTACAAAAGCACTGACAGATGTCGCCCAATAAGCAAATGTGTCTTTGAGGTTGTTATCAGATTTAGGGTCACAGGCTCTGCCTCCCTCAAAGCCACATTTGCCTATTCACTCTCAATGTATCAATTAGAAGAGTCAAATTAATAGTGAACAGCAGAAAGATTTACTCGATGTGGCAATGTTAGGAAGAGGAGCAGAGAGACCCAGGGATCTCTCCAAGTGTATCTTTGGGGCCCTAGCAAGAGGGTTTTATAAATAGTTTAGGGTTGCAAAGAAACAGACCACCATTCCCACTAAAGTGTCTGGACAAGACAAGCTTTTCTCTTGATCAAAAGGGTGTGTTTGATCTTCAGAAGGAGCACACATAGACAAAAAGTGCATTTGGTTTGTATTCTAACTTGTGGTGGATGTGTCTTTTCCTCATTGGCTGGGGTCTGAACTCACAATCTTTTTCAATTGGCTAGTCTGAAAAGAATGGGCACACAGGAAATGAAGGGGTCAGGGGCTCACTGCTCCAAGGAGAAAACGGTCAATGCTCCAAGGCCCCACAGAGCAGTGGGTTTTATGTAAACCAAGGTTTTGCTGGGTTGGGAGGATTAAAATATCTGCATAAAGGTCTTACAAGGTGGGAGAAACAAAAAGATTTTTATCACTGTCCTAAATAAAAGTTATTAGCATTTGATAAAAAGACTCATATTTGTTATTTCTTATAAAGGGAAAGTTTCAATCGAAGTCAAGAGATACACAAAACTAAGCAGCATGGGTCAAGGCGAGGCCCTGTTTGCTACTGTCTGGTTTTCATTCTGTCCTGCAAGGCTACAAGGACAGCTTGTAAATCTTTCCTAGAGACAAGTTCCTCCTCTCTGGCTGTCCCCACCTTTTCTTTTCTTTGGAGGAGTTTCCTGGGAGAACTCTATAATTTCTCGGGGTCCTTTGTCTCTGTAGTCAAAGGAAGGGCTGTAAGGCAAGCTAAGAGTTGTAAAGGAGCCCTGGGAGTAGATTAGGAAATGCTCATTTAGAGCCTTGTGAGTGGCTCCCGTAGAGTAGCTTCCAGTGTCTTAGATTTCAGGCTTCACTGGACATTTTAAATAAACTTGGCCTCTTTCTGTAACAACTGATAAGTAGCTGAAGAAGAGGCAGGCTGCAGAAGTGAATAGCTGGGAGCGGGTGATAAGAGGAACACAGCTGTGGACTTGGAGGGAAGTCAAAGACCTGGGAAGAGGTCTTGGAAAAGGCTAGCCTCCTCATTCAGTTCACCCAACAACTTCCATAGAGCGCGGTAAGTTATTGAGCGAGGTAAGTTATTGAAAGTATTACATGTTTAATGGACTTTTAGCATACAGTTGACGTGCAAGGTGTGAACAAGGTAGGTCTAAGCCACTGCCATGCAGTAACCAGTCTCTCTGGCTGGAATGAAACATCTAAGAAGGGCATTTTTGCTCTTCTCTTTGGTGATCAAACTATTGAAATTAGAATCTCTCCAGGAATATCCTGCAGGGAGCTGAAACAGTTGAAGCTGTAGGGGCATCCAGGAATTTGTCTTCTAGAAAAAGATTAAGAATTTTCTGGATGAACTTGCATGAGAGACTCAGAACTGAGACAGTGCTGGTGGGGAACAACACCTTGACCTGCCTGCCTTCTATTCGAACCCTACCCTTTGGTCCAACAGGGAGGGCAGACTGGTGTGTGTGTGTGTGTGTGTGTGTGTGTGACCAGACGACTTTGTTCCTCTTCCCCATATAGTCAACTGTATTAAGTAGATCTCTTCTTTTGCTTTGCATTATTAGTTTGGCTTTTAAAATCTGCTTCTTGAGGATGGATTGTTGAGGCATGGGTTGGATCCCAAGACTGTGGCTTTGAACTGAAAATCAGCTGACTCAGTTGAAACGTTTTAATGCTCCAAGATGCTTTAAGTTGGGAAACAAGATCTGAACTCTAGGTACTTAAAGCCTCTCTTTAATCTCCTGGCTCAGCAGCTACCGTGGGGGTGGGGCTGGGGGTGGGATGTGGGGATGGAGTGTTTGTTAATTGTTACTAGTTCTTGCTAGACAGTTTAGAGGTGGGTGGGTGTTCTTTCCCATCTCTTCTCTCTTCCAATGGATTTAGAGAATTTACTGGTGTTGAGCAACTGGTAACCACAGGTCAAAGCATGCCTCATAATCTCTTTCTCCAGTCTGCACAGGTTAGTCAAGGTTGGAAAGTGGCATGGTTAACATTTTCAAATACAGCTCGTTTCCTTAGCTCTGAACATTTTCTTTTGCAAAATAATGCGAGACACAGACTTAAAGGCTTAAGAGGAAATGGAACGCAAAAAAATCCCATGCATTTCAGGTAGCTCTTTTCAAAGTAAAAGAGCTCTGTCACACAGGACGGTGGTGGCACATGCCTTTAATCCCAGCACTCGGGAGGCAGAAGCAGGCGGATCTCTCTGAGTTTGAGACCATCCTGGTCTACAAAGGGAGTTCCAGGACAGGTTCCAATGCTACATAGAGAAACCCTGTTTCGACCCCTGACCCCCACAAAAAAGAGTTCTATCATATCTTACAATTCGTGCACTCTGATTCCTTTTCAACTCTTTGTAGATGATAAACTTTTTGTGGAGTGCTGTCAGAGTGAAAAAAAGGGAGGGAGGAGCGCTAAAGCCGGGCGTGGTAGCGCACACCTTTACTTCCAGAGGCAGAGGGATTTCTGAGAGTTCGAGGTCAGCCTTATCTAGAGAGATTTCCAGGAAAAGCCAGGGCAGTTACACAGAGAAACCATGGAAACCCTGTCTGGAACAAAGCAGACCGGGACAGGTAGCTCTGTAAATTCTCACTGTAAATTTGAATTCCATATTCAACCAATAATCAACACACACACACACACACACACACACACACACACACACACACACACACACACACAATTAGCATGTCTCTGATATCGCATAGTTCAATACTCAAACTCTTCAAAATGAAATTCTAGTGGAACCCTGTATTCTATTTTTTCCCCTGTATTTCGCTGCCTCGTTTAGACACAAGCAGGTACCTTTTGTGTTATAGGCAACAGATTGTATTCAAAGACATTTGTAGAGAAAAACATACAAACAAAAAGTGAAATTTCCTCAGTGCAACAATTACTAGCGAGGAAACCCCTAAAGTCTGTCTCTGCCTCCCCCCCCCACCCCCGCTCTCTTTCGGAGACAGAACCCCTTTAGTTTCGGATATGTCGTTCTAAAAGCAGTCCTGTGCTTGGAAATCAGGTTGTGCAGTTTGGCAATCAGGCTGCCAGCCTTCCCGGTGGGTTACTCAGTAAACTGGCTCCGCCCAGCTGCGCTTCACGGTAC